GAGCACGTCTGGACACATTTGTAGTCCAGCAGGAGAGAATTCCAACGGGAGGGAGAAGGAAGAAAAGAGAGAGCAAATTTATCGCTGTTTATCTAAACGATATGCACCGCGAGTGTTGACCCTGAATTGCGTAAACGCAAGTCTAACGCGTGCCACAGCTTTTCCATCATTTGACTTGCCGTGTCAATCTCGTTTCAGTGGATACAGTTTCGATGGATACAGAGAAAGATGACAAAATTACGTAGACTTTGACGAAAAAGGTGAAACAATCGCGATATATGAAATATATTTTGAATTAATCATAAAAAAATATGTTTTTTAATTAATTATTTTATATTCAACAGATTCTTTCTTTTTACAAGATTTAATGTTAAAAAATTTTGAAAGCTAAAACGGTGAAAACTAATTATAAAGTCAATAGCATTAATAAAAATAAAGTATGATGTCAGAAAGTTCTGTTTTTGACTCTTCTTCGGAACTTTGAAAAACAAGTCCAGATTTAGCAATTGAAATAACCATGCGTTCCACATAAGCGACGTAAATGTAAAAAGACATATAAAAACATTTACGTAAATCTTTTGTATGAGTAACATTTATTCAAAGTTATCTAAACATGATCCGGACAATACAGGCGTGAGAGACATGACAAAGATCTCTTTTAAATCTCTTTTAGATTTCTGTTTATTTGGAATTACTTTTGATACACACATACCGATGTGTTATGTAAATCCCATTCGTTTTATACTTTTCAATTGCCGTTACAATCTACTTTGAATCTACAAAATAATGCATTTTGCAATACTTGTTTGTGTATTTATGCGGAATAATTATACTTGCCATCCTGAATTTCTTTTACGGGTATTTGTGAATGAACAAATAATTTCGGAACACGAGTGTTGTTTAATTTACACACGATAGATGTTTTCATCAGACATAATTTAACCCGAACTGGCAAACGAACGACAGCGACAAATGAAGTGTGTGCCTCAACACACAACGCTATTCTTAGCTTTTTATCGGCTTATATTTGCTTCGCGTATCAGTTACGTCTTTTGCAAAGACTTGTTAAACTTACGCAGTTATTAATAGAAAAGTTTTTTTTCACAATGACGTGTTTGTTCATCGTCAAATTTTTGCAGCTAAAATGCTCTGGCATTAACAGCTGCGCGATTTATTGAAAAATTTTATTTCTTGCCGCGGCATAATTTTTTTCTTTATTAAAATATTTATTGACTTAAAAAATGATAAAAAAAACAAAGTTATAAAAATTTTACATTAACATAAATGCAAATTGCAATTAGGTCGAAGCAAAGACAGTTTTAAGAAGTCAAATGCCAAAACGATGATAAAAAATGAAGATTATTTCATATAAAGAGTAATATGTCCGTGAAATATTATAATTCTTTTGTGTATAAATCATTTCAACTATTACGTGCAACAAAGATACTGCGAAATAGTTGAAATTCTGATATAAATATCTAAAAATATCCACATATCTTAAAACGAACAAGACTTTGACGATAAGACTTTCCGGAATGAAAATATTAAGAAATATTTTCTCAAGGTTTCAATCTTATAAATTACAAAAAGAAGCACAAACAGACGCTACTTTCGCGTAACATGTTTGTTTTACGTCTTATATATCTTATATATATCATATAAGAACCGCAAAATATTCCAAGGCTATCTTTAGAACATAATGTATGTGCTTCGTATTAGTTATCGACATTATCGTGATAAAACGAATATATATGGCTTACTTGTCTTTTTCATGCGATCGTTTTAAGATCTCTCTCTCTCTCCGTTTGCAAATATGGGCGTGACATCGTTTACACACTCTGCTCTCACGATTAGGCTAATCACATCACGCTTAAATCGCTCTTTGTGAATCTTGAATCAAAATTATTTCCATTTCTATATAAGCTTCTGAACTCTGAAGTAACTCTGAACTCTGAACTAAGAAGAATCTTTGCAGCTTGCTAAATTGACATATGTCTATCTATTGCAACATTTGTTGCAACATTTGTCACACATAAAAATTTTGCTCGAAATACAAAAAAAATATATTTTATATAAATGATAAGATTAGATAAATGTTATCAGATTTTTAAATCAAAATTTTTGACAAAAAGTAGTTTTAGGGATCCCATATATCAGTAATCGACCGATCTGCAACGACCAGAGATTTTCTTTCTTCGTAACATGTGTCACGAGGCATTCTACAGCAAATCCGACGCTAAGCATCCTAATTATATTAACCAACAATATATTAGGCAAATAACTGCATATTAACACGTTTCATCTGCGTGGATTGTCTGCGGCATGTATTATCGTGTATTTTCTTACATCGTTTTCTCGAATTTCACAAAAGAACCATTTCACTGCTTTCTTCTTACGCTTGCGTTAATTTATGTTGTAACATTGTTAGAGTATTAACAAATATGTGTTGTATCTTTAAAATTATTACAACCATTAACGGACTGATATATTTATATATATAAAAATAGGAAAAAAATACTATTTTTTCTTGTTAAATTTCAAATAATATTATTTAATTTGTGGCGACTGATGTAAGTTTCTCCGATGTCTTCTATGAACCATTGAGAAATCATATAATATATTTAATGACTGAACTGTCAACCCACGTCACGAAATTACGATGACAGTTATAGCTGTCAACATCCGTCAGCGTGTCAGTTTCATTAGCAAAAACGTGGTGTCTTCTTTAACAAAGACTCGCATTTCATCAAGAATTGCTATTTACTAGGTACAAACATTGTTAAACATAGTTTTTTCCTTGCATAAAATATGCATCAGTTTGTTTGCATTATGCATCGAGTTTCATATTGACACTTTACGACCGTTCGACTGTTTTTTTTTTAGAATTATTTAGTTCTTTTTTCGTAATTTCCATAAATTGTATTGTATGTTACTCGTTCGAAACAGTATAGAATACGATAAATAATTAGACGGAAATATAACATCAAATATAATAAAATAATATATCTATACTGAATAAAAACGTCTACGTATTAAGTAAAAATTATTTTCTGTTTTTATATAAACGTTACTCGTTTTTTTCTTGGTGCGACGGCGTGATGGCGCGAAAGCGCACCATGGGAAAGGCGGGATACAGCCGTCGAGCGAAAGGTGCGCGCCCACTCGTACGTCATTCGGACGACGTACAAGTGCGATGTATGTGCAGCACGCAGATATGATGGACGAGCGGTGACGTAACGGTGGAGATCGGCGTCGAGGGGTTAAGTGTGAAGTAGCGTGGCGTGTCGACGAGACCATGGCCCTTTAATGTCCCCATTGTCAATCGGCGACGGGCGTCAAATAAATCTGTAACTCCCTCGGCCGTGATAATTAAAGCCTGCTAGGAGAGATTGAAAGTCGGCGCGGCGGCGACCGGTCGAGTCGAAAGGTGCGCGTGCTTCCTCCTTTGGTGAATGACACTATGCGTCATGACAGGCGGACGTCTTTATTGTTGCTTGACGTCGTTACAGGCTAGCCCGACTCACTTAAGGGGTTACGTAATCGTAACAGGTGTCTCTTTCTCTCTTTTTCTCTCTTTCTCTCTCCATCACTTTGCAGCCACATGTTCCAGCGGTGCATGTTTCGCGGCGATTTAACACGCAATCGTGCTTGGCGACGTTGAGTCTTGCGTCCGGAGTTTCCTAACGATTTTCGCAACGACGCAACAACGCTAATCTGATGCGTACTCGTACAGGTGTTTTCTTATCAATTATTATTATGGCAAATGTTGGAATTCGCAGATAACAGTTTTTGTATTTTTCGCCTCGCAATTATTCTCGCTGAAATTAGGTCACGCTATTAAATTATCTATTAGCACAAACTTGTATAAAATTTAAATATTTTGTAACAATTTCTTAAATTATTTTGCATAAATTATAGAATTTTTTACACTTTTAAATTGACGCGAAGGAATAAAAATCAACACCGGATGGTGTAATATAAATTGGTGTGGTACAAAATCGTAAAAATTCTCACCATCAAGAAAGTCTTGCGATTCCGATGAACAAGAAAATAAATTCAATTGATTTACGGGACATTGGAAGGGAAGTTGCAGTCGTTTTACGCGCGTGATCGCAGTACGTTTATTCGCAGCGTGTAAGCAGTGTCGTGTACCGTCGTGCTTACCCACTGCAACAATGATGTCACTGATGTAGAGTTCCTTTGGGACTCACGACATCCGGTTTACGCGATATAAATTTACTTTATGGACGATTGTCTTTCAAGGCATGCATTAATAGGAGATATGCAAGGTATATAAAAATATCTGACACACACACACACATGTATCTAAATCGATTCAATATATACTTTGTGTAATGATATTATTTTAAAGGTACCAGTTATTATTAGTTAAGCACAGATGGCACGCACGATGATTCACGCAAATAAATTTGGCCTCGTGATAAATGCATTCAAGCAGGAAGATATGTATTATTGTCACAACTGCAATACCAACCACGACCGGTTTCACGTTTGCGGATTGTACGGAAATTGTAACGCTCGTTATGCATGGCACGCATGTTGATGAATATAAGCGATCGAATGCGAATATTCAATATCTCTGAAATAGATAACATTTGCAAATACTGATTAATTATTCAAGCGCATCAGGGTGCTATATACACATAGCAAATTTTGACAACAATAGATTCTGTTAAATATTTAAGTCAATATTTTCCTAAATTTCTTTATTTATATTTGCGTATATACAATTAAATTATATATTTATGGTACAAATACTTTATTTTAATATCGCTAACGCGATTTAAGTGGCATATTTGAACTGCTTAAATTATAATATAAAACATTTTGGTAAATAATCCAGATAGATGAATAATAAATAAGAGCTGCTCCATTGTTAGCTTATTCGAATATTTTTCTTGATTAAGCAGTCGCTGCGTATCTCATGTTTTTCACATTATAAGTGCAATATTTTCAATGAAAATTTAAAAATTTTTCAGGTGAGCGGGAGGGAGGCGCTGACCGGTGGCGGCGGCGGCCATGCGCCCCGGCCCGTCAGTAGAGCCGAGCCGCCGCAGGCCTCCCCGTCGCCAGCATCCGCATCAGCAGCAGCTCCATCGGGAGCGCGATCGACAGCAGCAACAGCAACAGCAACAGCAACATTGGCTGCATCCGTGGCGGTTGCGCTTCAACAGTTCGCGCGCTCTCCTGGTGCTGCTGCTACTGGCCAGCAGCCCCCTGGTCCTGGGTCTGACTGAGCCGCCAGGATCATCAACAGCTGCAGCGGCCCCAGCGACCCAGTGCCAGCAGGCACACAAGAGCCAACTGAAGTCGGGGAATAACGCGGTGAAAAATTTGACCATCGGTTACCTCACGGCCATCAAGGGCGGCCTCAAGGATCGTCAGGGTCTCGCCATCTCCGGCGCCCTGTCCATGGCCCTCGACGAGGTAAGACGTATTTTACGTATCTTGTCAATTGATTCGGTGCAAAGCTTTGAAATGCATATTTGGTAAAATGTATTTTTAAGATTTTTGCTACTCGGCTTTCAGTCGCGCGTTCTTCTTTCACGTCTTCTTTACGTTTTGTTCTCGTTTAAGTCGCAATATGTTCATTTTTCCGATAAACATGTGAAATATGCGTGAAATACTTAAGTATTATTGTTATCGACGAAAGTGGCGTTATTATGTCGATTGCATAAGATCGACTGTATTTTGCACGGCTCGTTTAAACGGTCTATTGATACATTGCGCGCTATAATCAGTAGCCGCTTCTCAGAATAGGCGAACTACCGTCTGCTTTATCGCAAGGAGCCGCTTACTCGCATCAGGATGCGTGCTGCGCGTTTGCATGAACGCGACCAATCATCATGCCACCGTTAACGATATCTTTGAACCCGGCCGCTGACTTTTGCAGAAGATTATAGCGTTATCATGCCCATCGCGCACAACTGGTAATAATAGATCATTGATGCTATTAGTTCATGCGGCGCATTGACGATTGCCGGCCGGCAATCGACCGTCCGGATTCAGTTAGAATTAGGCGAAGTCGTCGAGGTTAACCACAACATCGAAGGTGAGTCCGAGAGGAGAGAGATCTGTGAAACTCTGGCACCCAAAATGCGAATTTTTATAATATTTACGCGGCATTCTTGATTATCCACAATTTGGCCATATTTGTTTATATATAATTTTTTTTGCCAATTATGGACAATTAAATGCCGCATAAGTTTTATAAAAATTCAAATCTTGGGTTGTCAGTTTCACAGTTCTCGAGGAGAAAACGGCCACTCCCTTGAAATTTCATTTTCCTTCGACGCAATCTCAATTCCGTAATATCGTTCCTCCTTTTCCGACGTTTATTCCTGCCCATATTAACACGCCACTGCAAAATTATAATGTCGTATAGAAACTACTTATTTCGTCGATGCGGAACGTAACTCTATCCATTAAACATGTTCCGAAGCGGATTACAACGTTATACGTCGATCATGTGAATAGTAATAGCATCTTATGCTCCAGCGCTTTATCTGCCATTACCGCCGCATGAAAACACGACTGATGAGACACGCCTAAAATTATAGATTCCGACGGGCCTTTTAAGGGAAGCCAAGGCTTAAACAGGATATCATTATTTCAACAAAATGTTACAAAGTCCGCGGGAAATTGGGTCGTAAGAACGATTCTGCTTTGTGCCAGTTAGCTTACTTAAGTAAACTTAAATCCGCATTCAACTGTAATATCTTCTTGATTGAAAAATTTCTTTATTTAGAATAATAATTATTTTATAAATTCTTGACATTGAAAACATTTCTTTGGATCTTCTCGATAAATTCTCGATAAATCGGAATTGATAATATTTAAAACGCGAAATGAATGTTTACATATTACTTGCGCGATCTGATAAGCACAATCATAAAATCTCAGATAAATCAATATTTTTAAAGCACATATGATAAAAAAATACACATAGCAGGCGAAGGCATTTTGATTCGCGGAACGCATCCGAATCGTTACTGAAAGAAGTTTCTGTATGTATTCTGCTAAGTTTCCTAATTTTTGAAAGAATCCAGTCGATAATTCGACTTTTTGGGTCCGTTGCGAAGTTTCTTCGATTATCCAACCAACGACAACAACGACCATAATATCTGGCATTTCTTTTTCCTCGATCCTGCCATACGGCTGCTCGCTCGCTCGCTCCAGAAGTCTCGATAATTCATTCGGCGGATTCTCCCTTCCTCCCCACCTCACCGTGCATCCACAGGGGACCGTGAGACCGTTTTCGCCCGGGCGTGCTGCACGCCGGATAAAGAGGAAGTAAAAAGAGAAAGGTACGCGGCTCCCGCTCGTCGCCGCCGCTATGAGGGCAGAAGTTCCTCTGCGATGGCCGAACGAGCGCCGAACCAAGGGAGAGACGCGCCGATGCCCCCGCGAGGGTTTAAAAATACAAGACCGGCGTTATTCGCTGGTCCGCCCACGCGTGCCGGCGAAACGGCGCTCTCTCGCGAACCGTGAGAAGAATTCGCTCGCGGGTTCGGGAACGTACACCCTACCTCCTCCTTCACCCCGTCCACCGCCCGTTGCAGTTTCCCCTCTCCTCTCGCCAGTTGTCCGTGCAGGCAGCATCCTTCCTTATCCACTAACTGTGTTTCTTTTTTCTTTCCAAACCTGCCTGCACTCGTGCAACCTGCGACCACATGTGAAGGATCAAAATGACTTCGGAGATAGGGGGGAAAGAAGGAGAAGGGGAACGGAGAATGAACCCGTGCGAATTGTCGAAATAAGCATTGATCCTATCGCAATGCGCAATATCCGGGTATGAGAATGAGGTGGTGCAGATTAATTGCCGCGTCGATGGTAATAAAGGAGTGTAAGATCGAAAGCATCGAGCAATATCGATCGGACCTCCGAGCGCAGAGAGAATCTGAAAGATAAATTCTCCGCCGAATGCATTTCGCTTTGATTCTTTATCGCATTGAGTAAATCGAGCGTTTATATATCTTTTACATCACTCATTTAAAAACTTGGCTTATGAATATGGAAGAGGCGTGATATTCTTTATTCGTTAAAACTTTAATAATTATGAAATAAAGAATTTATTAGAGAATTATTGGTAATTTATTCAACGTATAAAAATTGTTTAGTTATTTGAAGAATGTGAATGTGTTACATCATTTCTCAATATTTCAAAGATTATAATTTAATGTGTCACGGTTACTAAGAAAAAATATTCTAGATAGTGACTGCGATCTAAAAACTATACAACAGAAGTTCAAAAGTTACGAGAATAAAACGAATTATAATGCGTAAAATGCACATATTTAAGATAATGCATCCAAATGTAAGCCGCATACGCGTTTCTCCTTAACCTTTGATTGCAAAATGTCGCTAGACTTCCTATTGTTTGTTAGTTTCATATTCTCTTCGATCAATTCTTTTTTTCTCTAAATAATTCTTAGGGGAATCTTAAGGCTGTTTCTTGAACATTCGATTTAAATATATCGAAATTATTTTTTCGCTATTCTACAAAATCTTCATTGTTGTACACGCGTCCCAGGATTAAAGAAACGAGCGGACAATAAGACAAAGAGATTGGAAATTAACTGGTGCAATGTGGTCTCGCGATAAAATTTCTCTTTCAGCAGTTCGATGCACCGCAACGCAGTTGCAACGATAAACGCGTAATGACTCTCCTCACTGCGATGCATGCTACCCGCGCATTCAGCGAGTCGAAAGGTGCAGGAAACAAGCCGAGCTTTGCGGCCGTTTATTTATATCCGCCGATATGCCACGCAAGAGTAAGCATCGCGATCGCAATGTCGGCCTCTATTCGCAGCTAGAATAAAGTTTAATTCACAAGTGTTCATGGTCGAGCACTATCGATGCGATACGAGCATCTCTTTTAACAAGCAGCCTCGTCGCGCACTTCTGCACGTTATAAGGCATATTTTAGCGATTTATCGGTTATCAACCCGTTAATGACGCAAATTATTATGAAACTAATGATATTTAAAGTTCAATTTATTTCTGTTTTAGATAGCAATATGTCACGATAAGTTTAGAATGTACGGTTAATTATTGTATTGCGAATTATTTTATGTGAATAATACTTTTCAAAATTTATCTGTTTTAATATTTCTTTATTATAAAGAAATTATATTAATTTGTTTTAAAGATATTAAATACACGGATAGTAACTAATTGCGACTGATTTTGCTTGGAAAAGAAATTTAAATCTATAACATCTGCTTAAATATATTTTCTAGATTGCATTGATATCAATTATTTTTTAAATTATACTTAAATGAAACATAAGACTCATTGTCAGATTAGCGAATTTAAATATTTTAAACAGTTTAATGATACAGTTTACTGATCGAAACTGTGAGCATGCGAAAATATTGCGTAGATCACGCATATGTGAGTCTCGCTTAATACTTGATTCGCACACCGCGGTCGCAAGTGTTGAATGCAGGTGCAGCAGCACCGCCTTACCTGCTCGGTCTTCGCCCGCGGGTATGTGAAAAAAATCGTGGAATTTGCACTCGCGTACGCACTCCCACGACTAGTTCCATTCGGTTTAGGTATATTCGTAAATAGAACGAGCATTAATTGGCGATTTTGCATGGTGCGCGCAAGGGAGAGAGAAAGAGAGAGTCCGTGCCGTCGTAATGGGCGCGGCGTACTTGGCTTTTTAAGCGCGTAGATCACATTCATAATATCCATTCGCGCGGGCAGTGGTACGCACACTGTAAATTGCTAACGCGCGGTTCTCTCTATTAATAAATAACAAGGCGCGCCGGCGCGCAACCTCGCTACTGTTGACCTGGCTCTTGATGAAGGAGGTTAATTTAACGAATGGCGGATTAAGGAAGAACGTCGAACTTTCACTGCGCTCTGGTACGGAGAGTAAAATTTTTCACTCCGCCGCGCGGATTAACGGTGAGACGAAATACGCGAGGTATCGCGTACGAATGGACTGAGTTTGTAGATCGATTTGCTAAATAAAATCGAAATTATTATTTCTTTTTTTCTTTGTTCTATTTTTTTTTTTTTTTTTTTTTTTTGCTAGCATTGCATATTTTTTGGAGTTCGTGAATTTTTCTCGTATTTATTGTTGTATAGTTTTTACTGTATTTTATTAAATTTTTTTTACTACTAGTAAATTTTCTTTGTCAAAATATAAATGTGTGCATGTTACAATTTCGAAAAATATTTTTAAAAAATGGTATTTGACAGGGATAACATCCGAATAACGTGCCTCGCGGACATTTATTCTTGTAAATGAATCTGGATATAACGTTGGTATGCAAATTGTTGGACAACATTTATTATTGGACGCACTTGCGCAGGTGGTAAGTTGCAAATCAGGAATGTGCGGCATCCAACGGGAAGGATAATGATTTTTTTTATCGCGCTTCTTTGAAACCGCTTTAACGGTGCTCTGACACGTGAAGCTGCGCAAATTCGTACACTCACGCGACGCGACGTCATAATTCGTCGATGTACATTGTCAATAAAAGGGCATAAAAATACCGTGCATTAAATTCACTTTCGTCATCAATGGAATTTTCGTCGTGTACTCGCGTCAACTCTGCGATATTTTTTTAGGCATTCCTGTCGTCGGAAATCGTTCATCTATTTTAATCGTTTGCATATTGCATGACGTGATCTGATTGCGTTACGCTAACGGTGCATTTTAGGAACGCTTGATTTTTGTGCGCACAACTATGATAAACTTGTCAGGTTCTCCTTCCGCGTTTAATGTTATTTATCTTTCTGTATTAAGAAATTTCCGCAAAGCACGTATGTGCTTTGGAACAAGTAAATTTATCTCACATGAGATAATTACATGACATCACGAACCTTCCTACTGTGGCAACCCTCTTGCTTTGGAGATATAGCAGTAATAAATCGTACAAGAAAAACCATGAATGTATAAAGGCGTGTAATTTTGTAATACACGTTAAGGAATGTCTGGTTTCGATCCACTAATGTGCTGATATAATTATATACGAATTCCATTATATAAATTATGTCTATATCATGGAATAAGACAGATAATATTAAATTAAAAGATGCATAATCTTAAAAGAATTTTTACTTTTTTGTATTTTACAAAAATCTGTAATTTTATTATAAATTATTAAATGCACGATACAGTCAATGTCTTCGTTAAATTTATAACGCGTTTAAATTGTGCTATAAGCTCCAAAGCTATATTGCTACAATAAGGAAGATATTTTTACATTCCTAGCGTGATTCTAGAATGAGTCGAATGCTTTCTTTGCGAAACCGCAACGTAAACTCTGCAAAGTTCCGTTAACATTAATCGGTAACTTTCATATACCGTCATGTGTATCGTGACCTGACCGTCCACACACGTGCGGCATAGTTTGAATATATTTATTCTGTTGACTCTGTGGGGAAACTGCTTGATACTCAGGTTTGATCTAAATGTTAGCGCACAATGCAATCGCGACAGCGCGACCCGCAAAAGGATTTATTGCATATGCGAACTTTTCAACGATCATACCACGGACGGTTATAATTTCAGGTCGCATTGCCAAGCATGTAAATTGGCACGCTCCGACGAAGTGACCCTATTTGAAAAAGTATTGTTTGCAGGAATTCAGATTTGCATAAGACAACGATGGTAAATGCAAGCCGGATATACCGGGTGAACCGTAGGAATGCACACCGAGAAATAAAACGGGACACCGCCGGGTAATGCGCCGAGTCAGCCATTACGGCGAACACGTGCGCATCACACGGATGATTCTTTTCGCATTTATTGTAATACAGACCGATAAACTTCGCTATAGAGAATCGGCTGCTGTAAACTTTTATCGCGTAATTGCGAATGCTGGGGCCGCTTATTGCACAATAAAGGTTTATCGCTCGAAAGTAGCTTCATTAAGCGCCATAGGATTGACATGATTTTTTCACGAGAATCGTATAAATATTATATCCCAGATATTACTATAAAAATATACGAATAAAACATTCAATCTTTTTTATAAAAATATTTTTTATACGAACTTCTCAATACGATTCTGGATATTAAAATTGATTTTTGCGAATCTGCCGTCAGAATTATTCAAGCTGCGAAGTCAAAAATTCTTGCGTATTTGTTTTCGCGCAGTGAAACTAACTGTCTGGTATTTCACTGTGTTTCAGATCAACAACGATACAAGCATTCTGCCGAACGTGACGCTAGTGATGCGATGGAACGACACGAGGGGAGAGACTGTCGAAGCTACCAATGCAATGATCGAGATGATCTGCGACGGGGTCGTGGCCTTCTTCGGACCGGAAGGCTCCTGCTACGTCGAGGCCATAGTCGCTCAAGCCCGCAACATACCTATGATCAGTTACGTAAGTAAATCGCAAGTTTTTACCTAGTTTTGAATAGCCTATTTAAGTTCGATTTTGCCGCGTGTGTCGCATATACATATCATGCGTTTCGTTAATAAACATGCTATTGTAGTCATGATTATTAATAGCCTGTATCAATATACGATACACGCAGCACTAATGGCAGACCGCACACGAGTATACGTTATCTGGTTTCGTGACGCGAATTGTCTCGAGCCTTTTCTTTTACTTCTGCGCCTTTAGAATAAAGCTAAAAATATTAATTATCGAACCCTTTTTTAAGCATTTAAACCAATTATATTGAACGAAACATCTATCGATAATTAAACCTAAATAACCACATATTTATCAATTGAATGTTTTCTATTAAAATTCTCATTTAGATGTTATGTTTATTAATTAATAAAAATCAATATTCTTAGTTAGGTTTCTATCTATGCCTAATTAGATACGTTAAAAGAAAACCGCGCGTTCGCTCATAAGTTAAGACGTTATTATCGAACGGGCGAGAGCGGAGCATTGGAATTTTGTGGCGCGTCGTTATCGGCGATTTCGTGCGAACTCAAATGGAGAAACCGGCTGAAAACGGTTTCCGCCGGCGTGAGAACGGCAGGGTTGTAGAGTACTGACAAGGCAAAGTCGAGGCTGCATCGAAGGCGACGGTCGGTGCGGGTGCGAGAGAGCAAAGGTGCTTAACGAAGGTGGAGGAGGCAGTGGAGGTGCGTCCGACAAATTGAACACCCGCGGCGTGACAATATAATTACGGGCCCGTGTGCTCTGGGGCGTGCGTGCGCTGGTACGATATGCGTGCAACGTTACGACGGAGCACGCAACGCGGTCTCGATTCGCGCCGTGCGATTCGATATCGCCGCGCTGCGCTGCGAGAGAAACGCGCCGTACCCATTATTTCATTAAGTTCGTTTCTTTAATTTACGACAGAATTATATCTAGGCTTGTGTGCTTGCGTAATGCAATAAGTATTTGCGCGATAAAAAATTTTATCTAAAATTAGAAGATATACTATTTTTTTTCGAGAGAAATTAAGTATTAAATGTAAAATAAAGCGACAGATTTAATAATTATTGCAAAATACAAATTATTGTTTTCTTTCTCTTTATTTTTGTAGTATAATATTTTTACGGAAAAACAGATACGTGAAAAGCGTAACCTAAGAAAAATGCAAAATAATTTTCAAGTTTTAAATTAGAGAAATTGAAAACGCAAGAATTTCCTGCACGACAGTCTTCATATTAAGCTTACATAACTAATTGTTACCAGATTTAATCTATAAACTGCCGGAAACTTACATGGAATGGCAGTTTAATTTTAACCAACCATCTGATTGCATAAATGTCAGAGGATATATAAAACTTGCTAAAGCGCTAAAAAATGATTTGAAAATTTTGCATGAAGTAACAAGTTGCAATCAAGTAGAGTTTTTACATAAACTTATTCAAAAGTGTATATTGTGTTGAATAACGTTTTTATAAGATTATTTTACGGACATTGTACTTTGAAAATATTATTGCAATGATTGAATTGCAAGGCATTTAAAAATGGTTTAGGTTTCCACTACATATACTCTTTTAACTTCCGGTCATCGTTACGCAAGTGCAATGAGATCACTTCAATGTAATTTGCCGCGATAAGCATGTACAAAAATATTATCGTCTTAACATAAACATTATTCGCGTCATTTAACATAAGTCTATTCGCGGTCATATCTACGAGGCCAGACTGCCTATAATTTATTCTAAAGAAAAAGGATTTATGCAAGCCGGAAAGTCAAGAAACCCAGGCATGTTTAAGCCTCGTGAAATTAACCGCGGGTCTTCAGCGATGCGCGACCACGCTCATCACAAAGTCACGAATCCAGCTACTTGACAGCATTCCGGCAATGTCAACGATACGTATAGTCGCATCACCTGCAATCTGTACAAATACATATGCACGTACGGCTCGAGGATTTCGCTTTGACGCGCCGCTTGTACCAACTTAGCGTTTCCTCTTTCCTTTCTAATCATACGGCAATTAAAGTTATTGGCGTTCCTGAGCGTAAATCTATGTAAAACAATCTCGCGTTCCAAGCGAGACAGATTAGTATGGTCAATTAATTTACATCGTGACATATGCGCAAATTGAAAGTGGCATTTAGATGTCAAACGTCTATTCGGCGGCACTAGATCTAGATCTCTCCGGCATGTACTGAAGGATATATTTACGATTAACGAAATCTATTTCTTTTTTTAAACTGGATTAATATTTCATGCAAATTCTTTTCATATTTTGTATATTTATTAAACGTAAAAAAATTTGTTAAACTTATCAAATGTGTGAATTTAATATTTTTTTTAAATACAACTCAATAAATATATCCATATTTCATTTATTATCACCGAAAAGGTTTTCTCGAGCCGAAATATAATTTTAATAAGATGGAAGTAACATCGGCATTCCTCATTGAACATGATTTTTAATTCATGATCGTCAGGAATTTATTCGTAATTGGCGTGAAATCAAGCGAGCCGAGAAGTCAAACGACATCTTCCACAGCATTTTATGTTTTCGTGAAAGTCGCCGCGATGCCAGAGGTCCCTCGTGAAATAAACCAGCGACGAGTCGGTCTGTCGGTCCGCGGAAAAGTCCGTCCACTGTGCGGTTATATATCGTTGTGGAAAGTTTTACGGGGCCCGATTGCTGCATTTATCGAGACGACTCATCGGTATAAATTTTTACCGCGATTAACTTTAAGCCACCGCGGCTTAACGGATGCTCGCTCGAAGACATGTTTTGGACAAATATGTGAGAAAGTAGTATTCGTCGAAAGCCTTCCAGGCTAATTTATGTTAATTCGCAATGGTGTGAGAAAGAAACAAGCACATAAACGATCAGCGAGAAAACAAGATAAAAATATCGAGCACACATGTCGCAGTCTGCTTTTTCGTTTCTTATTTCTTACTTTTAAGAAAATATAATCAAAATCTTGTATTCATAAAGTACACATCTTGAACTTATAAAGAATATTACAAGTAAATACATTAGAAACGCAAGATTCGCCTTAGACAGACATAGATTCTTTCGATATAATAAAGAAGGAAAGATCGGTTGAATCGGAATGTAGGCCCTTTTCATGGTACGCGAGGGACAGTGTACATAAATACAAAGAGCTACCACTATATTTACTTTCACCTAGTTTCACTCGTCGTCCGTAGCAGAAATCGCACCGCAAATTTGTCGGATTCCTTTAATGGAGAGGCCTTCTCTTCGTGGCACACGTAATTAGATTTCGTCGAGCGATGCGCTTTTTTTCGCATTTTGCTATTAAGATATTTGCCGCGCGTTTCCGACAAATTATTTTCTTTCTATTATTTTTTTAATGGTGAATTTTAGCGCTTTTGAAAGTGGAATACGAAGAAATACGTTCACTAATTATACATCTTACGCGTTGACTGGTGCTACATTTTAATTTATTATGAATTTATCAAATTTGAAAGAAATTGTGAAAATTCTTATCGTACAAATTATTTAGTATTACGTATTGTATAACTTATGCGTCGAATAGCTTCACTAATAGATGCGGAATACAAGCCACGTTCTATGATCGAATATTAAAAAGAAATATGAGAGAATTTAAATGTATTTTATGTGTCACGCAATTTTAATATTAGTCATGCCGATTCCGTTATGTTGTATATGACACACATAAATCAAGAAATGGAATGCAAAAATTTAATATTTAAATCAGTCTAGAATGACGTCATTATGTGGATACGTTTAGCGGTTTTATCGAGACCTGTTGTGCCTTTCGAGCAAGCGTTCCGATTGCGTGGGTCATTCTGCGTTCGTGTCGAAGCACCCGTTTAGGTTACAATCTGTAGGTGGACAGCGAGCCTGAATGCCCACCTCTGCAACAGCAGATCTCTCATAATAAGGCGTATGCCGTAAGGGGCACCGCACAAACCGGTGGGAACTTTCGACAAGTAACACAAATGTCTGCCTACATCACACGCGCGCTCCAACGTGTTACGCTGGTGCAACCACCTGTTGATTACGCTCCCGCACGAAGCGATGACGATCTAACGAACAAATCGGGGAACCATTCGCACAATTACCGATACCGCTGCATAACGCGAAACTATCGTCACCGTATTTTCTCTCTGCGCAACATTCGCGATAACCACAAAAGTGTCGACTATTCAATCGCGTTATTATCGATAATTGTTGATAATTGTTTCTTAAATTGTTGCTGTTTAATACAATATGGCGCAGTAATGAATAATAATGATTGTGATTTAGTAAAGTAGCGATATAATTACATTCAATTAAATCATTGCGATTATCAGTAATATAACGCAATGCTGAAACTTTTTGCGTTTGCAGGCTTTGATATTGTCATATTTCTATCGTAGTTAAATTGGCGACTATATTAACAACCTTAGAGTCGATTATTTTAGAAAATTTTAAACGCACACGTTTCATGTAATTTTTCGACCGCACAAAAACGCATTGTTCGAGAATTCATATTTGCGTACCGCAGCCGTGGCTCTTGGTAATCGGAGCGGCGCGAAAAAAAAAATCGCATATTATTGTATCGATGGTACATTTGCATGAAAACTGCTGATTCTCCTGACCTTCGCGGGCTATATATAGCACAGTCTGTGTGATGCACTTATGCGGACGCTTACCTGGTCCGCGCGAGTCGCGCCGCGTCGGTCGATGTCAGCCCGACATTGCCCTGGTCTCTGACGGCCGGTTTTTTCTCTTTTCTTCTCGAGAGTCAGTAATAGTTGAACAGTCGTTAAATCTTTTTAATTAACCATTTTAACTGGCGCGTTAGATGCTGCCGGAAGCGCAACTGGAACGACTCGGCACCGCGAGACCTCCGTGTCAGTTTCCGGCAGCAAATCTTTATACTTCTTCGCGTTGTTTTCCTATTTATTTCTTTCCTAGGTTTTTTTACGTTTTATATTCCTAATTGTGATTTTTATTTAATATAATTG